TGTGTGTGCGTGTGTGCGTGTACACAAAGTAAAACTTATATATAAAGATTATAAAGCATATATTATTACGATATCAAAAATCTTATAACAAAACTTTTTTTTCCATTTTTTATTTAGTCCAAATTGTCTTATTCTGTATACTTTATTGTCCGTATACTTTAAAAATTCCGAAGAAGATTTTTAAATATGATTAAAAGTAATCTATACGAAAAATTAATATAAAAATTATTGCATTCTCTCGATACAAACTTGTATTTACAAAAGAAAATGAAAAATATCATAGTTGGTAATCTTGACATTTCTATGGTGCAATAATTAATTTTTTTTTGCCAGTAAATGTTAAGTACCAGTGAGAAATGACAATGAAATCGAAATGTCGAATTGATGTCGATTCTATTATCATTTCTCACTGCATAAATATTATGAGATGGAAAACTATCGATAGTTGCAATCATCGATAATTATTAGAAGTTTGTTGCTTGATTTTTAAAAAAAATTTATTTATTTATTTTATTTATTTATAATTTCTAAAAAAATTCATAAAATTAAAATTTTATTTTTAATAAATGTATTATATATACATACATAATCGAAGTTTCATTTTTGCAATACTAATAAAACAATCGATAATCATCGATAGCTATATCGATGTTTTTATTTCCATTTCTGAGCACTTTTTACGACTGTAAAGAGATAGATATATATACATTTAACCGTTGTGAAAAGAAAGAGTGAGAGAGTTGAGTGCAGAAGGTGCAATTAAAGATCCTCTGAACTGCGCCTCGGAGATGGTGAATAATATTGAGTTCGGTGTCACACGCGCATACCTGTAAACTCAAAACTGTAATTGAAACTATCACACGAGGTGGAATGCAAAATTGATATGTGACTGTTGCGTTTCTTTGTAAGATTAGAATAGATTGAAAGTATTTCAAAATGACAACGGAATTTGTGTGGGATGCCGATAATACGGCAGCAATGTCGACCGTATGTAATACATCGCAATATATTTCTTCAAGAATATTCATTCTTTCATACACTTTGTCTTAACTGATGTTCTTATTAAAATGCTGATGATACGATGATATAACATTTTTTTTTCTTTCATTAACTTGTATTATAATTTTATTTTCAAAGCATAAAAAGTAGATAAAAATAATAATTATAAAGAAATAGAAAAAAGGAAAGATATTAAAAATAAAATAGTTAAATAACAATTTCTGTTAAATCTGTTAGGTTTAATTCAAATAAAGGAATGTCATTCTCAAATAGAAACTATTATATATTTTTTGTTTGCAGAATATTCTGTTTAAGTGGTTTATAGTTTTTATATAAAAAAATAATGTTTTTTGTTTAAGATGTATATGAAGAATATTATTTTTTAAAATTATTTTGTACTTCAAATTATTAAAACTATATATTTCACAAGAGATTTAATGAAAAATTATATTAATTCAATAATTAAATATATTAAACTTATTTTAATTATGATTACTTTTTTTTCAGACCGACGAAAGGACACCACTTTTGTCAGCAAGTGGTCAAATCATGTCCGTTGAAAAGATTGGTATTTCACAACAGACTTTGGTTTCTACTGATAGCCTTGGTCGGGCTAAGAGGCTCCCACAATATCTGGCAGGCATAGCAGCAACGCTTGGCGCTCTTGCTGCTGGTATGGTGCTCGGTTGGACATCGCCTGCCGGTGAAAATGGTGTCAATCTGGCAAAAAATTATGACATAAAAATATCCATCATTGAATTTTCCTGGATAGGATCACTTGCTACTCTTGGAGCAGGTGCGATGTGCATTCCCATCGGCATAATAGCGGATTTAATTGGAAGAAAAACTGCCATGTTAATCATGGTAGTTCCATTCACTATTGGTTGGCTTCTGATTATCTTTTCAAATTCAGTACTTATGTTCTACTTTGGTAGATTTATTACCGGCCTCAGTGGTGGAGCCTTCTGCGTAGCTGCTCCCTTATATACGGCAGAGATAGCTGAGAGTGAGATCCGTGGTACGCTTGGCTCCTACTTCCAATTGATGCTCACAGTAGGTATCCTGGCCTCATACGTTTTTGGAGCCATTATCGACAATATGAGGACTCTATCGATCATTTGCGCGGTGATGCCGCTGATTTTCTTCGGGATATTTTTCTTCATGCCAGAGACTCCAGTGTATTATTTGAAGAAAGGTAATGAAGAGGCCGCTAGGAAAAGTTTGATCAAGTTTCGTGGCGATGAATATAATATCGAAGCCGAGTTGCAGGCGCATCGTGAAGCGCTTGAAGAAACCAGTGGTGGATCATTTTTTGATTCAATCAAATCTCGGGCCGCCAAAAAAGGCTTTATCATTGCTTACGGATTGATGCTCTTCCAACAAATGAGTGGCGTGAATTCTATCATTTTTTATTCTTCGGATATCTTTTCCGAAGCCGGAGACGCTATTTCACCCAACATAGCTACCATCATTGTGGGAACAGTGCAAGTAGTATCAGTTTTTTTTGGTACTCTTGTTGTTGATAAACTGGGCAGGAGGCTCCTGCTTCTAATATCAATCACAGTAATGTTCCTGATGACTCTGCTTCTTGGGGTTTATTTTTATTGTCTTGATCATACCACGGCTTTCAATAATATTACATGGTTTGCACTTATTCCGCTGTGCACCTTCCTTATAGTATTTTCCGTGGGTTTTGGACCGATCCCGTGGATGATGATGCCAGAGATCTTTGCGCCAGAGGTGAAAGGAATTGCTGGGAGCAGCGCCTGTCTATTCAATTGGCTTATGGCTTTTATAGTCACCAAATTTTATTCTGACATGAAGGAAGCTGTACAATCCTATGGCACTTTCTGGATATTCTCCTTATTTAGCGCCGTTGGCACTCTATTTGTTTACTTTTTAGTTCCGGAAACAAAGGGTAAAACATTGGACCAAATACAAAGGGAGTTGAATGGTTGATCAAGAATTGACTAGAAACTTTGACAAGCAGGAAAATATAAATTGTACATATTAAACTACATTGTTTTGTATAGAATAAAGTTGTACATATAATAAGTTACAGTACTTAAAATTAATATATTTTAAGTTGAGTAAATCATATCAAGTACATAATATTATAGCGTGTGAATGTTATATTCTATATTTAAGAATGATTGTAATGTTATTTAATATTTACATATTTAATATTTACATATGCTATATTGTCATTTTATTATCATAATATTATTTTCGTAACTCTCCCATAGATGATTTATTAATTGAAAATATATTTTAATGAATCAGAACAAAAGTTCGTAGCGTTACTTCATTTGCATCATATTTATACGCTTTTAAGAAAACTTAGCAATTATACTATTCGATAGATCAAAGTTTCAGTTTTAAGAATCTGTTTTTTAAATTGCAGTATGATAGTTTTTAACGGAATTATGAACAATTAAAATCAAAATACTCCTTTTATTTAATTCGCGATAATTTAATAACAAAAAAATTTTTTAAATATATTTAAAAAATAATTTTTCAAGGAAAACTTTAAACTTTTATGTTAAAAAATCGAAAATTTTCAAAAAAAATTTTTTTGGATATATAACAGACCCACAAAGTGAAAAAAAATTTCCCATTTTCTTCAGTTAGTAGACTCTTACATGTAAAAAATTATCAAATTGACAAAACTCAAAAGATTTAGGCTTTTCAAAAATAGAGATTTTACGCTTTAAAACTCTTCTTCAAATTAAAATTTTATTCATTTTAACAAAGTTACAATTGTTTGAATTTTGATGTTTGTAGCATTTATGAACTTTTATTCTAACTAATTTAACTCAATACTTTGATAAGTAAGTAGTGACTATTTTAACTTTTCTCCTTTTTCAAAATTACATTATATATTTAAAGCCTAAAAAAGAAATATTCTTTAGAAATGTGACACATTGAAATTCAATGTAAAATGCTATTTGACATTAATATTGTTATCTTATTATACCTCTAATACTTGTACCAGCTTTAAGGCTGGTATTCATTGATTCTTATACTTAACATTATTTTTATATTTAAGATTGTCTTAGGTATATTTAAAACAGTCTTAAAATGTTATAAGCCAAAGCCAATCACAGAAGTGTATTAGCATCTCAAGATTTTATTGTTTTAAGATAAGAACAGGCTATGAAACCAAAATTTTTAAATAGCTCACAAACATCACTAGTCAATCAGCTCTTTGATTTTAAAGAAGAATAATTAGTATTCAATGATATTATGATATTACGATAATATATTTTTTTAATATAGAATGTCATTAAAATACGGTACCACCCATCCTGAGCAAGTAGAGTGGATTAAAACTAAGTCGAAAAGTTCTGTACCATTTTGTAATTTTCGCAATGGTTAACGAGATATTAATTATTAAAAATCGCTAAATATTAGTTTTCAATAATTTTTTACTCAAATATTATACAGAAAAATTGCAAAAGACAAAAATCATTTTCTTCTCATATTTATTTTCTTTCATAGAACTTTAAGAAATTTTCCAGAATTTTTTTATCAACTTTTTAATACTGCATTTTTTTATTTTTATCACTATGAGAAAATACGGTATTAAAAAATTCTAAAAAAATTCTAAAAAAATTCTCAGAACTTTATAAGTAGAAAATAAATCATTTTTATCTTTTGCTGTTTTTTTCTATAAAGTTAATGAGTTTAAAGTATTTGAATTTAAAGTATCTGAATAAAAATTATTGAAAATCAATATTTAGCGATCAATATTTAATAAATAATATCTCGTTAACCATTGCGAAAATGATAAAAGACTTTTCGATTCAGTTTAGTCCGCTGCTCAGGATAGTGATGCCATATTTTAATGACATCTATTATATATTTACATTTAATTACATTATACTTTCAGACTGACTCTTTGGTAAATTTGTATGAAGTTTCTTATAGATTATCTATAGATTATACTGTTTATGTTGGCGTTATTATTACCGTAGTATATGTGATATTTATTTGCTCACTGTAATAAATTATTGTTGACCATCAAAACAAATCTAATTTGCTCTGATATTATATATTATAGGGGAAAGACGCCTCCTGCGCTATTGCGAGCCTCGCAATAAAAAAAATTGTTTCTACTGCAGTTTCTTCTTTATCTTATTTTTATCATAATTTAATTTCTTATGCAATATTTCTTATTTTTTTTTTTACAGAAGTCTATACTTTTCAGCCTTAACAAATATTTATTTCAATGAATTTTGTAAATATAAATAAAAAGAAAAATTTCTGAAGGCAAAAGTTATAAAATAAAGAATATAAAAGCTTTATCTTATAAAAGTTATTGAAATTTTTTGAACTCTACTAGATGAACTCTATATACCTATAGTTTTTATAAATATGCATTTTTTTGTTTATATATATAATATATAGATACATATATATAAACTTCTATTCATAGATAAAGATATTTTATTTCTTGCATATTGAATTTCCCTCCCTTCCCCTCGTTGTAAATTTTGTTATATTTTATTTTATATTTGTATGCTAAAAAAAGACAAAATTATGCTTAAAATTTATTTTTAAATTATAACGCTTATTTCATAAAAATAAATTCTCATTTAAAAACAGCGAAATAAAATTTTATTTTTAGCAAATAAACAATCTATTTTTTACAATTCATGAAAAAAATAAGATATATTTCATAGAAATATATATTCCATTACAGTCAAATTTTTTTAATAATTAATAAATATCAAAGAAACTTTTCCAAATAACATTTGCTTTTGAATATTTAAATTTTTTTCTCAGTGTATTAATAATAAGCATCTTCAAAAATTTCAAAATAATCCATTTATTATTATTTTGAAAATCTATTTTAATCTTTTATATCAACCACATGTTGAATTTGTTACTTTGGTTTTTTATAAATTTTGTGATCCTATTCTTATTTTTATTTAGCTAAAATTCGTTAAAAATAATTAAAAACCTATTCCTCTTTTCTAAAAAGAAATTAGATGAAAAGGTTAAACAGTTACAAAACACAAGATTTTCTAATTTTTTATTATTTGCTGTGTGAAATTATGTTAAACATAGTTCAATTTTTTTTACTATATTAATTTTATTAATTAATAAATTTTAAGTATTTAGAACATACTTATTATATTAATGTACATTTAGGCATGTGGAGAGCGCGCTAGCATCATTGTATCAGTTTATCCTTATTTTAAATCTAATAAACGATGAAGATAGAATAAGAGAAAAAGAGAGAGAGAGAGAGAGAGAGAGAGAGAGAGAGAGAGAGAGAGAGAGAGAGACAATAGCACACGGAAAATGTTTGGTTCAATTGATTAGAATTTTGGTGGAAGATAAACGATCCAGAATTTTGATTAAATCTACTAGATTTCTGATTAAAATTTCTGGAATTCTAGTTCAAATAATTAACATTCAGAACTTTCTTGGTTAAATCTATCAGAATTAACCAGAAATTTAATAGACTTGATCAAAATTTTGGATCGTTCATTTTCCATCAGAATTCCAGTTAATTCAATTAAATATTTTTCTTCGTGCACTGATAGCGCACTTCCTGAATGCAGTCTTAACATATATAATTCACATGTATATACAATATTATAAAATTTCAGAAATAGAAGTGCAATATTAATAAAATATCGTTATGAATATGAGCTTAGATTATTGTTAAAATTTTGTGTCGATATTAATGCACTAAATTTTATCTCTGATAATGTAGTAGACATTTTATATAATCTGTTCTCTGTATGAACTTAGTTATGTTGATAGATTGATTTAAATATCACTCGTCAAACACTGTTATTTATGCTTTTGAATTACAAATAATTTAGCAGATATACGCGGGTGTCTGAATAAAATACATTCGAAAACGTATTTAAAAATGATGCATTTTTATTCAGAAAAAATTAAAAGCATTTCTAATTCTTTTTAAAAACAAAATTGAAAGGATATTTAGATCTTTTATATATCCATATAAAAGAATATTTATATTTAATCAATTAAACAGACTGTTACTTTGATCGAGATTTCAACCGAGAAATAATAAGATATCGGATAAGGAAAATTATTATTAAGAAAAATTGTATATATATATAGTATTGATAATTTTTTTTTCGAAATATCGTTCATACTGGAATTAAAAATGATTTTCTGTATTAATAAAGCTTATTTTCTGGAACGTAATATTCTAAAATCAGTGCTTTTCCAATGTTCATCACGGCGTTATTACAACAATTTAAAGCGTTGCATGCGAACATGTGATATGCTGGTATAACAGATGTCAAGTGGCTACACCTACGCATACGAACATGTTCCAAACTTAAAATATTGGTATTTTTGGCTACATTATGTCACACTTTCTGTTTTAAGGGAACATATACACCGAAAAAGATTAAAAAAATCGATTTTTTTTCTTACATATTTTTAAAGTTTGATATTTCAGATAACAAAAAGTCCAAAATCATAAGACGTCTTAAAGATGTTTTTAAGATGTCTTATGTCTTTTTTAGATAGCTTGAAGAAAATTAAGACTGTTACTGGAAAGTAAGTTATAAATCGATCCAAAAAAAAACTGAAAAAATTACACATGATTAAGTATAAATAGTCAAGTGCTGAGTTCACTAAACAGATGAACGTATATCTAAAACAGGACCTTTCAAAATTCTACAGATATAAAGAAAGGTTTTTCGTTTTAATATATTAAAAACGAAAAACATTTTTAATATATTTAATATATTCAGCGAGTCTTCGAGCTGTATAACTCGAACAATCAGTTTGGTAACAATAATTGTCGTTTAGACGTTTAACGTTTTCGTAGTGTAAATAAAATATAGAACTTTAAACGCCGAAACATGATTTTCAAAACGCCTAACCACTTCATCTTGAAGATGGCTTGATTAAACAACTTGCAAGTTTACTAAGTTAAAAGTTAATCCATGTGACGTAGATTTTTTTTTAATAATGCTTCGTTTTTTTTCGA